TGACAGTTTTAGTTAAAACCATTAAGTTGTGTACATGAATTACACATGCTTGCTATTTTTAAAATGAGGCTTGTGGAAATATTAGAGGCTAAATCTGATCATGTTTCATTAATGGAAGGTTGCTTAGAGCATATGTCTACTTGTTACTTTTGATGTCTCCTACTTATGCTTGTAAAATTATATATTAGTATATGAAAATTGAAACAAGTGAGAACGAAGTCTCATAATGGTTATTTAGCCATGTTGAAGATAGAAATACTAAAATGGGATTTGGCAAACCCATTTGGAGATCCAACTAATGGTCTTAGTTTTAATATAAACTAAGAGAAGAGAGGCCAAGTGAAAAGGCTCTCAATTTTGATAAGTCATAAAGGATTTTGTTTCAACATACTCTAAGAGAGATGAGTGAGAAAGGTAGAGAAAGAGGGAGAGCAGGCAGGCGTCGATCACGAATAGGACAAGCAACACTGAGTTGTGAACATGAGGGATTCCAAGGGAGAAACCAACAGAGGAGAAACTCATCAGTGGATCAGAGAAGAAAGCTGAAGTCTCCAATGCAAGGTTAGAAGCCGTATACAGGGGAAACATACGACAAAGGCTTGTATAAACAAGCAACACCATATTTTTTTACAAACTTCCTGGAGGAGTGGAGTTATGCAGAGATGTGGAGAACCTTCCGAAAATTTAGAAGGGTGTATGACATCTACAAGCCTCTTACTAAAAAACCTCAAGCATCGAAACTAATTTCAGGCTCACGGTCTTAATTCAAACTTCAAACCTCTACAGGATTAATAATAATAATGATGATGATAATAATGAGATAAAATCTTTGATTAATGGAGATAAAATCGTTTCATATCGATCTTAATTTTCTCATCTGTTCTAATAAAAACTATTTTTAATATATCTTAATTTTCTTAAGCTTTTTGTGCAAAACGTAAAAATTTCTATTTTTTATTTATTGAGATTCAAATAGTTTAATTAATTAATAGGATAATAATTGGTAGTTTAATACACTATATAATAATTATTAAAAAATTATTA